TGGCTACAAAGACCAGGGTGGTTGGGAACTCATAGAGATCCAACTGTCTCTGCCTCTGGTGTGCTGGGGTTAAAGGCATGCAGCACTGTGCTCAGCTTGCTTGGTGTTGTATCATGAGATTAACATGCATCCATCACCAAGCTGGCTGTATTTGTATCTTGAGCCATCTTTTTCTCCTTGTGACTTTGACCCATTCTGCACTCTGTTGATAAAGAAATTGCTAGCCCCCATCCCAAAAGCTATGGAGTAACAAGGGAGGAGAGGTCACTCACCTGTTATGTCCACCTGGATGGGGTCACTCCTCTTGGAACTGACTTGATTGGATACTTCACACTGATAGTCCCCGGAATGCAAACTCCTGGCAGAGACTATTTTGAGGGTGCTGTTGTTCGGGGACAGCCTCATCTCATTCGTGATCCTCAGACTGTGGCCTTTGAAGAGCCAATGGATTGAGATCCCAGTGTCGTTTGACAAGCACTTCAGGAACACAGAGGTCAGGTCTTTGACTGTGGTGTTGGTGAATTGGATGGAGGGTTTAATCACTGGTTCTGTGAATAAACAGTGGAGGTTACCAGTTGAGAGTCCTTCACCCTCAGAGATCTCAGCCAGCTCCCAGAGCACATACAATGAATGGGCCCTCTGCAAGATCACATGTTCAAGATATAGTCTGTAAAGAAAGAGCTGAATCTTACTCCTACCAAGACCGCCCACAGTGACCCTGACTCAGGGTATTTTTGTAGATTCCACACTGGGAGCCTCTTCAGCCCACATGTACAGAAATCTCATGGTTGGGAGAAATGTATTTCCCAATAATATTTGTGGGAATTCTTGCTCATATTTTCTGTGAGTGTGAACAGTCAGATCCTGCCTTTATGAAATAGCCTTTTAAATTTTATTTAAAATATTAGCCATAGGGTTAAGATGGCCTAGCTAAACTTAAAGGTGTTAAAGGCTAGACCTCAGGACTGGGAGAAATCCTTAACTGAAGAAATTTTGTTTGTAGAAAAATTGTAATTCTTGCCACATGGATATGGATTAAATACTACAGAGAAGAAGTGATTAATCACAGTGCTGACCACAGCTTACCACTCTAATGCTGAGTACTGATATTTTTGAGACAGGCTCTCACTGTACAGTCCTAGCTCATGTGGAACTTGCTATGTAGACCAGGCTGGTCTCAAACTCACACTATCTACCTGTCTCTCCCTACTCAGTACTGGCATCAAAGGTGTGTGCCACCACACTCAGCTGACATATGTTTTTGGAACCTTGAAAAGAGCAAGCAAAAGGGCATCATCAACTATCAGTGACATGGTTCACCCTGACTCAGAACAGGGCTCCCAGGCACCTTCTCCACCCACTCTTTCCATCCCATGGAGTCAGAGCTGAGCCAGCCCCCTCACCCATGAGACAAGAGCAGACCTGGGAGCAGAGGTCTAGTCCCCATCTATGGAGAATATTCAACTATGGGAGTTACTCTAAACCTCATAGAAGAGAAAGTAGGAAGTAAAAGAAGAGAAAGGCTTGAATACATTGGCATCAGAGATCACTTCCTAAATATAACAGCAGTAACAGAGACACTAAGAGCAACAATTAATAAATGGGGCCTCTTGAAACTGAGAAGCATTTGTAGGACAAAGGAAATGGTCAATAAGACAAAATGACAGCCTACAGAATGGGAAAGTTCTTCACCAACCCCACATCTGACAGAGGGCTGATATCCAGAATATTTAAGAATTCAAGAAATTAGACATCAAAATACTCAACAGTTCAATTAAAAACGGGCTATAGAACTAAACAGAGAATTCTCAACAGAATAATCTCAAATGGCTGAAAGACATTTAAGGAAATGCTCAACATCCTTAGTCATCAGAGAAATGCAAATCAAAATGACTCTGAGATACCATTTTACACCTATCAGAAGGGCTAAGGTGAAAAACACTGAAGACAGCTTATGCTGGAGAGGATGTGGAGCAAGGGGAACACTCCTCCACTGTTGGTGAGAGTGCAAATTTGTACAGTAACTTTGGAAATCAGTATGGCGATTTCTCAGATAATTGGGAATTGATCTCCCTTAAGACCCAGCTATACCACTCTTGAGAATATACCCAAGGAATACTCAATCATACCACAAGGACACATGCTCAGCTATGTTCATAGCAGCATTATTTGGAATAGCCAGAACCTATAAACAACCTAGATGCCCCTCAACTGAAGAATGGATAAATAAAATGTGGTACATATACACAATAGAGTACTACTCAGCAGAGAAAAACAATGACAGCATGAAATTTGCAGGCAAATGGATGGAACTAGAAAAAAATCATCCTGAGTGAGGAACCCTGACTCAGAAAGACAAACATGGTAGGTACTCACTCATAAGTGGATACTAGATGAAAAGCAAAGGATAAGCAGACTGCACCTCACAGCTCCAGGGAGGCTACCTAATAAAGAAGACCCTATGAAAGACACAGGATTGCCCAGCAATGGAGAAATAGATGAGATCTACATGATCATGCTGGGGTTGAGAGGGGGTGATGGAGGGCAAGAGTCGGGGCAAAGAGAGCTTAGGGGAGCAGGAGGTCCTAGCTAGATCAGGAACAGAGTGGGAGAACAAGGAAAGAGATACCATGATAAATGAAGCCACCATGGGAATAGGAAGATGCAGAGTGCTAGAGAGGTCCCCAGAAGCCCACATAGATGACTCCACTATAGATTACTGGCAATGGTTGAGAGCGAGCCTGAGCAGACCTATACTGGTGATGGGATGGTCGAACACCCTAACTGTCATGATAGAACCCTCATCCAGGGACAATGGAGTAAGATGCAGAGATCCACAGCTAAGCCCCAGGTGGAGCTCTGAGAGTCCAATCAATGAGAGAGAGGAGGGATCATATGAGCAAGAGATATTGAGACCATGATTGGAAAAAGCACAGGGACAACTAGTCAGACTAGAAGAAACACATGAACTGTGTCCAATAGCTGAGGAGCCACCAAGGAACTGGATTAGACCCTCTGGATAAGTGAGACAGTTGTTTAGCTTGAACTGCTTAGGAGGACCCCAGGCAGTGGGACCGGGACCTGTCCTTAGTGCTTGAGCTGGCTTTTTGGAACCTAGTGCCTATGCTGAGACACTTAGCTCAGCCATGGTACAGGGAGGAGGGGATTGGACCTGCCCCAAATGTAGGCACCAGGCTCTGTTTACTCCCCAGAGAAGACCTTTCCTAGGAGGAGGTGGAAATGAGGGGTGGGTTGTGAGTGGGAAGACTGGGGGGTAGGATGAGGGAGGAGTGGGAAATCTGTGGTTGATATGTAAACGAATAGAACATATCTTAATAAAAAAGAAAAGAAATATAAAAAATTCATTTCTGCTGGCTCTTTTGTATTTATTGGTGTGAAACAGAGTTGTCCTATGGAGTTACAGAATTTGGAAGGCATTCTTGCTGTCCATCTGACCCTCTGTGACCAGATGAGTTTTGATCAGGCTGCTAAGATTGTTCAATGATGAATGAATAATCAGTTAAACAAGGGATGTCGGGGAAAATGGGATATCCAGGTAAAAGAATGAAGTTAAGCCTTCACTAACAACATATACCAATCAGCTCTACATGGATCAAAGATCAGAGCTGAAAGTTATCAGACTTTTAGGAGACAGGATGAAAGCATCTTGAAACTGGATTTCAAATGGTATTTTTGTTATGATGCCAGATGCATCATATGGGCCTTTTGGCTGCTTATATGTCTCTACAGAAGATGCATGTTTGGTACCTGAGGAGGACAGAAGAGAGTGTTGAATTCCTTGGAACATCAATTATAGATAGTAATAAGTTTCCATGTAGGTGCTGAGAATTGAAACCCTTTTCTTTATAAGAGCTGCCAGGGCTCTTAACTATTGAGCTATCTCTCCAGTCCCATAAACCATATATATACACACACATACTACTAAACACCAAAAAAACCCAGTTATTAGAAAAAAGCATTTTGTGCAGGGATGTCATGCTTCAAATGTCAGCATGATGATAAACTCAGAATACGGGCCACCAAGATGGATCAGTTGGGAAGAGTGTCTGCCGTACTCCCACACGGTACCCACCCCTGATTGCCACACAGAAATAAATGAACAAACAAATGTGGGCCAGTGAAATTGCCTAGCAGATAAAGGGCTAGTTCACGCACCTGAGTTCAATCCCATGTCCTTGGAGAACTGGCTACCACAAATTGTCCCCTGACCTCCACTCATGGGTGTGGGACATGCACACAAAATGAATAGATATGCAAATGTAGTAAGAAACTCATTACAGGTCCTTTCTATCTATGCATTTTATATTTATGGAATGAATCCTTGGAAACAAACTACTTGAAATAGTATCTCTGCAGTGAAAAATGTATTGTTTCCTCCTATCTTTGTACTGTACTCAACACAGTAAGACCAGTGTCTATGCAGTGTTCATATTAGGCATTGGAAATAATCTAAAGAAGATCGGAATGTGGTGAAAGAAGTGTAGAGTAACATGAATATTTTACTAGATTCTGAGGGTTGATTGTGTGACTGATTCAGACCCTAAACTCTTAATCACTTTGCATTTCCATTTGCTATATTGACATCTATTGCTGTTAATATTGACCGGTCTCACAATGTAGTCAGAGCTCAGCCTTGTAATTCTATGCCTCCTGCTTCATGCTATCTCTCTTTTGAGATGGGGTCTCACTATGTAGCTCTGGCTAACCTGAAACTGGCTACAAAGACCAGGGTGGTTGGGAACTCATAGAGATGCAACTGTCTCTGCCCTGGTGTGCTGGGGTCAAGTGCATGCAGCACTGTGCTCAGCTTGCTTGGTGTTGTATCATGAGACAAACATGCATCTACCACCAAGCCTGTTGTATTTGTTTCCTGAACAATGTTTTTCTCCTTGTGACTTTGACCCATTCTGCACTCTTTTGATAAAGAAACTGCCCCCATACCCACCTTATGAAGTAAGGAGGGAGCAGAGGTCACTCACGTAAAATGTCCAGCTGGATGGGGTCGCTCCTCTTGGAACTGACTTGATTGGATACTTCACACTGATAATCCCCGGAATCCTCAATCCTCACAGAGTCTATTTGGAGGGTGCTGTTGTTCTGAGACAGCTTCATCCTCTCTGTGAGCACCACACTCTGGCCTTTGAAGAGCCAATGGATTGAGATCCCAGTGTCATTTGACAAGCACTTCAGGAACACAGAGGTCAGGACTTTCACTGTGTTTTTGGTGACTTGGATGGAGGGTGTAGTCACTAGATCTGTGGATAAATAGTGGAGGGGACTAGCTGAGAGTCCTTCACCCTCAGAGAAATCAGCCAGTTCACAGGGCCATAGAATGAAGGGGTCTTCTGTAAGATTGCGTGTTTGGGTTCAAGATAAGGTCTGTAGGGAGAGAGCTAAAATTTACTCCTATCAAGATCACTCAGAGTGACCCTGACCAGGGTATTTGTGTAGATTCCACACTGGGAGCCTCTTCAGCCCACATGTCCAGAAATATCATGATGGGGGGAATGTATTTCTCAATGATTCTTGTGGGGATTCTTGTTCACACTTTTTGTGAGTGTGAACAATTAGGTCCCTCTTTTATGAAATAGCCTACTGTTTATATTTAATTAGACAATTTGTCATGGTGTTAAGATGGCCCAGCTAATCTTAAATGTGTTAAAGGCTAGATCTCAGGACTGGGAGAAATCCCTAACTGAAGGATTTCTGTTTGTAGAAGAAAATGTATTTCCTGTCCCATGTATATGGATTAAATACTACAGAGAAGAACTGAATAATCACATTTCTGAGCACAGCCTACAAGTCTAATCCTCAGTATTGATATTGTTTGAGACAGAGTCTCACTGTACAGTTCTAGCTTGCTTGGAACTTGCTGTGTAGACCAGGCTCTCCTCAAACTCATACTATCTACATGCCTCTCCCTCCTCAGTGCTAGCATTGAAGATGTGTGACACCACACTCAGCTATTTGTTTTTTGGTTTGTTGTTGTTGTTTTGGTTTTTGAGACAGGGTTTCTCTGTGTAGCTTTGTGCCTTTCCTGGATCTTGCTCTGTAGACCAGGCTGGCCTTGAACTCACAGAGATCTGCCTGCCTCTGCCTCCTGGGTGCTGGGATTAAAGTCGTGTGCCACCACTCCCTGGCTTTTATTTGTTTTTTGAAGCTTGAGAAGAATAAGCAAAAGAGCATCATCAACTGTCAGTTTCATGGTTCACCCTGCCTCAGAACAGGGCTCCCAGGCATCTTCTCCCACTCTTCCCATCCCATGGAGTCAGAACTGAGACAGGAGCAGACTTGGGAGCAGAGATCTAGACCCCATCTGTGGGGATTATTCTCCAGTTTGGAGAATAAGAATGGGAGCACAGTTGATCCATGGGTGTTTGTTGTAGGTCATGGAGGTCATAAAAAGAAAATGGAGGAGACAGGAAAGCTTGTGTTAGGCACAGAAAGAAATCTTGACCTTGAGGCTCTCCTAACCATGGAAAGTCCCTCACACAAGCTAAGGCTTTTCAAGACTGGGAGAACCTCCTCCTCACATTGCAAGCTCCATCCCTCTCAGCCAGAAATCAGAGAACCAGGAGGCCATTAAACATAGGGATGAAGCAGGAGGCTTGTGGGAAGACTGAGTTTTGCTTGTTCCCATAGTCCTGGGCTGGAAATTAAATGCTTCTGCCACTTCCCAGAAAGACAAAAGACTCCACTCCAAACCTGTAACTGATATTTCAGAGATCCACTTACTAAGAACTGTAATGTTCTTGACTGTGGTCCTATAGACTCCAGGAAAAATATTATAGATGAGACAGGAATAGGATCTGCTATTATTAGTATTAATATTGGGGATAAAGAGCTCTTGGGAGGAGGACTGGAGCTCTCCCTTGACAAACCAAGAGTACTGTTGAGGTGGGTTAGCATCTGTGTGGCAGGAGATGTGAGGTTTGTCCTTGAATGGAAATGAATATTTGAGGGGGATATGATCAGGACAATTGGATCATCTGGAACAAACAGAATAAAGTCACACATGATGTCAGCAGAGGGAATGGGAAATCCTGGTCTGTAGAAGGACATAGTATCTCTTTGAGCTGTGCTTTAACCTTAGTTGAGCAGGTCCTACCCAGAGTTGGGGAGGAGATAAGTACAAGAGTACTCATTCAGCATGCACAAGCCCTGATCTTTCTCATGCACAACATACACACACACACACACACACACACACACACACACACACACACACACACACACATCCCCATGGACACTCATGTGTGCACTGAGACTGAGTCTGACTTGTCCCCTGTCTCCATCACCCTGAGACTCTCTAGGCAGAATTCCCTGCAACCCATTCAAGCTCAATGCTGGGCCTGTCCACATATGTTTTGGCTGGTACAGGATGCCCTGGCAGCCTAGGTATCTGTATGGTAGGTCTGTGTCGTGAACCCAAGGGGACTGGGACCGAGCATGGTATAGCTCTAGCCCTCTGTATTTAGGCAGTTGGGACCAGGATGAAACAGAAAATATTTACAGGTAGTGTTCAGAGAGAATGGGTCACTTGGGGAGGCACTCACTGAGTTCCAGTTTCACATTCATAGGGTCCTGTGTCAGTCTCACAACACTGAGTAAAGTGAGAGTCCTGTTGTCCTCAGACAGCTTCAGCCTGTCCTCTTCTGAGAGGCTTTGGTCATTTATCCTCCACAGGTAGGCTGTATTCTGAGTCTCATGCTCACACATTAATGCTGCTGAGTCCTCACCCTCCATGGGATTGGAATTGTTGGTTGTGATGTTGGACTTGGGTAGCAGTGCTATGCTGACCACAGAGAGATGATTGCCTTGTGTGGTTATTTTGTATCTTACAAAGGCCTCTTACAGCCAGACATTGTCTCTTAACTCCCAGCTGACCCAGATACCGAAAGAATCAGGCAGGAAGCAAATTAAAGGCAGAAGGAGTGGCTGAGTGCTCAGAGATAATGGGGCCTCCTGTGCTGTGTATGGAAGAAGCAAGGACTTTCTCATGAGAGAACTGAGCTGCAGTGTTTGGTGATGGTCAGACTCAAGACTTGGAATCACAGATCTCATTTTATTTCCTGGTCCTCACTGACCCATTGCTGCCTTGAGACACAAGGTTTGGGTCCCTCTAGCTACACTGACCTTGCCTGCTTTGTGTAGACCAGAGCCCTCCCAGCCTTTGCTGTCCTACAGATAGGTCATGATTAGTCTTCCCATTGAGATTCCCTGAGAAACCTGACAGCCTGTCAGAGATCTCACACAGCTCAGGATCTGCCTGACATTTAGTTCAGGCTGGGCCACATATGGGCCATTCTTGTTAGGTGTTTGATGTTGATTGACAGGAATCTGGGAGCCCTATAAGAATCCTGTGTCTATGAAATGATCTAGAAGAGTGAAGTCCACCTAGTAGGTCCCTATGATGGGGACCTGGAGATGTGGTTTTGGACAGATAGCTTGTGCCACTGATGGTCTATGTGACCCTGACTCAATGACTGTGTTGGCTATCTCACTTTTTCTATAATAGGACACATGGTAAAGGATCATTGCTATGCCTGCAAAGTAACCTTAAATGTGAACAGTGATCTGACCTTCCACCAAGCAGTGTCTACTAGTATTTCCTGCAGGAAATAATCCCTGGACTGCGGTGGGAGAGATGGCTCAGTGGTTAAGAGCACTGGCAGCTCTTCTAGAGCTCCTGAGTTCAAATCCCTTACACCCATCTATAATTAAAATGTGGTGACCCTTTCTCGTGTGCAGGCAGAACACTTTATAATAAATAAATAAATAAATAAATAAATAAATAAATAAATAAATAAATAAATAAAGGCTAATCCGACTGTGGGAAGAAAACACCAAGGAGCTGTTGGTAGAAACATGTAAATTTCACATTGGAAAGAGGTGCAGATTATAAGCAATCCATAGACAATTGTAGTCAATGGCAGTGTACATTTCAGAGTAATCAAGACAAATTTACAATTTCTCACCATAACAAATGGGAGATAAAAGTGTAGTGGGTGTTACAGAGTTGACTTAATCATTCTGTCTTGTATACAGACATCAAAGATTACACTCTATTTCTTCAGACTAAGTACAGTTGGGAGGCCATTTAAAGCACTATTAACAAGCAATAGATCATGGATCAAAACAGTGGGAATATCATTTTCAAGTGCCAAAAAATGTTACATATTGTACATCTGAACATGGGCCAAAATATATAAAGAACTCTCACAGTTCAACAATAGTAACAATAAAACCACAAGTAGCTCAATCCAAAGAGAAGGAAAAGACCTGACATTCCTTTTAAAGAAAGAGGAACATATGACCAATAAAGACATGCTGCTTAGTTTTTGTCTATTTGACAGACTAAATTCACATTGGAAGAGAAAACCTCATTTGAGGTATCACCTCCATCACAATGGCCAGCAAGTCATTTTCTTAATTACTGTTTGGTGGAGGAGGACCCGGGGCTATCCCCTTGCAGATAGCCCCTTTCTTATGGGCTCTATAAGAAAAGCAGCTGAGCAAGTTGTGGGAGCAAGCCAGGAGGTTTTCCCCATGGTTCTTGCCTGCACTCCCCTCAATGACACACCCTGATTAAGACATTTAAGCCAAATAAACCCCTAACTGCCAAGTTGGTTTGGGTTGTGGCATTTCATCACAGTAACTGGAAAATCTATCTAGGACAGCACATAAAGAATTGCTATGGAAGCCGGGGGTGGGGGTGGGGTGGCACATTCCTTTAATCCTAGCACTTGGGAGGTAGAGAAGGGAGATATCTGGGATTTGAGGCCAGCCTGATCTACAGAGGGAGATCCAGGACAGGCACTAAAACTTCACAGAGAAACCCTGTCTCAAAAAAAACAAAAATTAAAAAAAAAAGAAATGTTATGGAGTTATGCGTAGTGGCACATGAATTTAATCCCAGCACTCAGGAGGCAGAGGCAGGTGTATCTGTGAGTTCCATGCCAGACTGGCCTGCAGAGTGAGTTCCAAGACAACCAGGGATATACAGAAAAACTCTGTCTCAAAAAACCAAAAATGAAAAAAAAATAAAAGAAATGCTTATGGGCCAGGCAAGGTGGTGCACACCTTTGATCCCACTACTCTAGGAATTCCAGCCTGGCCAGCTGGGAGTATATAGTGAGACCCTGTCTCACAAACAAAAACCAAAAACATGCTTAACACCAGTAGTCATTGTAAAAATGCACATGATTGACGGACCTAAACTGTACATTCTTAAGGATAAGTTGTATATAATTATAAGCTAAAAAGTTAGTTATTAGGATACAAATTAAAGCTTGATCATCTTATAAATGATCAAATTCTCTATACAAATGTATGTTTAGAAACAGGCTAAATATGCTGAATATTAGCATAATCAATTCCTTACTTCACCTATGACATTTAAAAAATGTTAAAGCCTCCCACTTTAAACTATGCCATGCCTCTTACAGCCAGGAATTAGTCCAAATTATACTTTGAGATCATTTAGACTATATTTCCACTTACTAGGTCTAAAGATAATTTGCCTTGCTATCCAATTTTCAGTAAAAGATAGCTCACCAAACAGATTTCAGAATAAGCTTTTACTATTCCTTCATTAAAAGAAATTTACTTTACATTGACTGTTCTCAATAATCAATCACCTATGTCTCCTGACTAATTAAATACATAAATGGTTTTGGATGTAAAGTTTTTATAAGGGTATAAAAGTTTAGATATAGAGACCGTTTAGGAAAGTTAAAAAATAACTTATGATATATGAATTGCCAGTTATTGGGATAGATAAATATAATATATAAACATCTAGATATGGTATAAATGATATCCACGTCTCCATAAATAACCTAGAGATACTGAGGATGTATACCTATGTTAGATGTATGGATAAAGTTTTTCTTGAGATCTGAGATCTGAGATATATAGGCTTTAGAAATAGACTTATGTATGCATTAATACATTAGTCTACAGACGTCCCCCAGAAGAGACCTGGGGCTAATAAAAGGCCATAGCTCCTCCACTGTACAAGGTATAATAATTGTCCAAGGAATGATTGATCTGACTTTACTTGGAAAATTAAGATTATTGTAAACCTCCTACAAAACAATTCAGAATCTACAGGGCAGCACCTAAGGGAGCTGCCAGTTTGGATTCAAGTTTTATGGTCTTCTGGGTTCAGGAAATTAAATATTCCAGACCAACTAAACCCTTAAAATACAGGGAAAGAAAGTAATTGATTTGCTAGACATAAGCATAGACATTTCTTACATTTTAGGAAATGACTGACCAAATACTTAAGACAATTATTAATCCTTCATCTCATATAGGTCTAGGAGGTCAAGCTAACATTGTAACCAAAAGCTCAGAAATATTAAAATGGCCAGACAGATAAAATTATGGACGATTCTGCCCACAGGCATCCCCTTTATACCTAACACTCTGTGGGGAAGAGACATGCTGCAATTAATTTGTGTATCATTAATCTCTGCTATGGACTAATATCAGTTCAAATGCTATAAATGACTGTTTAACTTTAAAGAACTTGGGTAAACAAACAAAAGGCATAATTGAGTCCATTATTCTAGAAATTATAAATGATAGACATGGCCTAGGGTATCAAAATTAATCTGAGGCACCACTGTTGACTGCTGACCCCACTACATGGAAATCTGATGCTCCTAACTCAGTTAAACAATGGACTTTGAATGCTCAGAGAATTGTAGCTGCTACTTGTCTGGTGGAAGAGAAGCTTAAAAATAGGGCATATAAAGCCTCCCACCAGCCCTTGAGTCACCCCAATATTTGTTGGTTAGAAAAAGTCTGGCTTACAGCTGTTACAAGACCTTAAAAAATTAAATGAACATTTTTGGAACCAAGGGGAGCTTCACAATCTAGTTTGCCCTCTCCCACTGCCACCCCTAGAATTCAAAACA